CACGAGGCACCCTCTACAAATGTGCCCGCCACCTGGCGTCATCCCACAAGGCACCCTCCACAAATGTGCCCGCCACCTAGCGTCACCCCTGCCTGTGCTGCCTCTTCCTGTTGAGAGCAGTGAGTGCTACAAACCACAGCTCAAGGGCTTTTTTGGTCTTCTGCAAGCCCAGAGAAAGCCACTCCCTGACTTATTGCTCATGTTACTTCTTTACAATGATGAAGGTCCACTGAGACCATCTCCTCATTCTTGGGGAAGAAAACGTCTCTTAATGTGGACGTGTTTTGGAAAAGGCCATGCTGTAATGCGAGATCAATTCGTGGGTGAACTCGAGCTGGCCGCAGCCAACCCCTGGCCCCGACGTGGCTCACCGTGCGCTGGCACAGCCACCGAGAGTGGCAGTAGTCCAGGGTCCCGCCCAGGTCCTCGGTCAGCTGCGACTTATCAATGTAACCGTGTAGGTCTGGTACGGAGCTCAGCATTATGACCTGGAGGAGAAAGGGAATGGGTGGTGGCCTTCAGGGTTATTGTTGGCTCCCAAAAGAGCTGCCCTATCAGCAGAGTGCCCAGCAGCACAGAGGGGACATGGCCACCTGGACGCTATGGGTGGCTGTGGGGATGGAGTGGCCTGGACACTGCAGGTGGTTGTGGGGAGGGGGGCGTCTGGACCCTGTGGGCAGTTGTACAGACGGAGTCCTGGGCTTCAGACCTGTGTGGACCTGGGTGTGGGTCCCACTCACCTGCAGGCCAGTTGCCGACTTTCTGTGTCTCAGCTACCTCCTTCGTAAATGCCACAGTGAGGAGCAAATGGCGCCGCTGGAGGCGCACAGAACCCAACGGGAGTGTGGCCTGTGACGGCTGACATGCGCCATAGGCGTTTACACCACCCCAGAAACACCTTCGAACAGCGCTCTGATGGAAAGATGATCACTGTGTCCCTATTCCTCCCGAAAACACCCCACGGTCATTGATCCAGCTGGAATCAATATGACACCACTGAGGCCAGTTGGGGAGTGTGGCCCGCGGTTCCCGGCTACGGTTACACAGGAAACCCGTGCTTGCGTTGGCCACACACGTTTCTGTACATGTGCCTTGTCTTCATTTTTCTGCATTTCTCTTGCCTTTTTTGAGGTCACTCTATCCACAGGTTTGGATAAAATCTAGGTTTGGCTTTGCAGCTGTCAGGCAGGACCACAAAAGGGGTCTCCCAAGATTCAGCTCAGGGGTTACTGATCAGGGGTTAGACAGTGTATCAGTCTGGAGTGGGGACTCTCAGCTGGGGGTGATTTTGTCAGACAGACACAGTGGCAGGGGTTCTGGGGGCCACCGTTCTCCATAGTCAGCCATGGTGGCAGGGGTGTCAGGGCCACCATTCTCCCTAGCCAGCCACGGCAGCAGGGGTCCCGGGGCCACCGTTCTCCCTAGCCAGCCACGGTGGCAGGGGTCCCGGGGCCACCGTTCTCCCTAGCCAGCCACGGTGGCAGGGGTCCCGGGGCCACCGTTCTCCCTAGCCAGCCACGGCGCCAGGGGTCCCCGGGCCACCGTTGCCCCTACTGTCTCCTTTCTAGGGCTGAGGTCAGCACACAGCACTGAAACACAGGCCGTGCATGTTTCAGCTGCATCCTCCACATGCTTCGCCTGTAACATCAAGAATTATCTAAGTGGGGCTGTGCGTTTAAAGATGCTGGTGATGATTTTTGGGAAACCCACTCTGATGCCTCGTGGTGGCGCCGTTGCGTGGGGGAGCCTGTGGCACAATAACCAGTGAGGTTGGTCTTGCTCCCGTGACACGTGTGTGGTCACGAAGCCCGAGGCTAGTGTGCAGTGTCTCCATACAGGAGGGAACGGCTGGGCCCATGGAATCCTCTCTCACAAGGGCCATGACGCACACACGCCACCACAAGAGGCGCTGTCCTTGGGGTGCTGAGCTGCACATGCAATGCCTGGCTCGCCCGGTGTCAGGACACAAACCTCCCACTGCCCACGATTCCCTGCTCTGCACAGTTTTGTCACTGGTCGTCTCTAGAAAGTAGGCTGTTCAGAAACAAAGGGTTCTTGGAGGCTACAAAAACAGGGCGTGCACAGAGCTTCCCGATGGCAGGGCATGCACTGTTTCCCCGTGGCGGGGCGTGCACAGAGCTTTCCCGTGGCGGGGCGTGCACAGAACTTCCCCGTGGCGGGGTGTGCACAGAGCTTCCCAGTGGCGGGGCGTGCACAGAGCTTCCCCATGGTGGGGTGTGCACAGAGCTTCCCCGTGGCGGGTCGCGTGCACAGAGCTTCCCCGTGGCGGGGCGTGCACAGAGCTTCCCCGTGGCGGGGCGTGCACAGAGTTTCCCCGTGGTGGGGCGTGCACAGAGCTTCCCCATGGTGGGGTGTGCACAGAGCTTCCCAGTGGCGGGGCGTGCACAGAGCTTCCCTGTGGTGGGGTGTGCACAGAGCTCTTGCTCATGTGGCGTGGAGGCTGTAGCAGTGCAGTGAGAGTGGGGAGGGAGGGCTGGTGCCACCTGATTCCCAGGGCACAGGGAGTAGCTTCACAGCTAGTGACCTGCACCCCAGATTCCCTGATTTCCAGCAGGGTCTGGCTGGTGTCGTAGGGAACTCCTGGTGCTGGCCCGTATGTCCCTGTTCTCTTTGTGGCAGAGAAGACATGAGTTCCCCGAAGTGGCTGACCAGAGCTCTCAGGGGAGCTGGCACAGCTTGGGCTGGTGACAGGGCCACACAGGCTCTAAGGGGCTTTGTGGAGCCTTTGTTCTTTAAAGGACAGTGGATCAAGGCTGAAGGTACTTTCTCAGTGGGCAGTGTTGGGAGATGATGCCCTATGCCTGGCTAGAGTGGTGGCAATGGGGCAGGGGTCACCCTGTTGGCTGCCCCAGGACAGGTCCGGCCCATCCCTGCCAGCAGTGGGGCTCCCTCCCAGGTCCAGGGACGCTTACAGCCCCCTCCCCAGCCCTTCTCGCATCCCCAGGGTGCAGGCAAGGTCTGGGCTGCATTCCTCACAGGTGGGCTGAGGGGACTCTCAGTCCTCAGGGTCCCAAGTTCTGCAGCTTTCCTGGGGGCACGAATGTCGTGTGACCCGTGTCCTGGTAGAAGGCCCACACCGTGGCCCGTCTGAGGTGGGTGGGGTGGGGGGTGGGGGCCGGGGGCAGGGGTGGAAGAAGAAAGGATTGCGTCGCTCCTGACAGTGTTGAGGAAGTGCAACCTCCTGCCAGCTCCTGCGGGGTTTAGTTGACTGCATGGCCCCGAAGTTGGCTCCTAGAGGATGCTGATGATCACAGATGGGGCAGGAAGGCGGTGAGCTCTATTCTGCTACCTCAGGATGGAGGCAGGGACACTTACCGGCACCTTCATCTTAAAGTCATCTCTATTGAATTTGAAAGCGATGTCGGAGAGAGTCCTTTGGAAAAATCCCGTTGGGCGAAGAACAAGGACGAGCTGCAGGTTTGCCGGGAAAGACGCCTGCAAGAGAGGGCGGGAGACAGGAGCCTGCAGCTCGCTCTGCGGACGGGGCCCCAAGCGCAGCGCCTGCACCCTGGGCTGACCGGGAGGCACAGCTCGCAGACCGGGCGTCCTCAACGTGGCATGTTTACGCTGAGATAAACATGGTAGAGATGCCAGCCTCTGTGAGAGGCATCGCCCATTTTTAAAAGAAAAGAAGAAAAGCCATGTGCCTTGGCAGAACGTTACCCGGCTTACAAATGTGAAGGTCATAAGCTTACGACAGTTGTTAGGGGCCGAGCTGTGTCCCCCCAAATGGGGATGCTGAAGCCTAGCTCTGGGTGCCTCAGAATGTGACCTTGGCTGGAGACTCTTTACAGAGGTAACCAAGCTAAAACAAGGTCACTAGGGTGGGCCCTGACCCCTTGTCTCATGGAGCACACCCAGAGAAGATGCTGGCGGAGGTCGGGGCGGTGCTTTCACACCCAGGGAGACCCAGGGACACAGCCAGGACAGAAGCTGGAGAGGCCTGGGGTGGACAGATGCTCCCCGCAGCCTCAGGATGAGCCCGCCCCGGCCACACCTGAGTTCAGACCCCATCTCCGGGGCGGGGGGCAGTGCGCTTCTGTGTCCAGCGGTCAGTCTCTGGTTACTTGTTACCATGGCCCCAGGAAACCAAGACACTTTTCAAATTTAAAAAAAGCAACATGGACATATACGTGTGTTACTACAAAAATAAAGATAATCTTGCATCCTGGTGTGCACATGTGCCCTTGCACACAATTATATGAACTTATTTGGAAGCCGGCTCTGCCTATTACAAGGCGGGAGACCTTGGGCAGGTCACTCCCCTTCTGTGTCTCGGCTTCTCCATCTGGAAAGTGGGGAGAGCAGCACACCCTCTCTAAGATGAAACCAACTAAGGCGTGCGTGGCATTCGTGGGTGCCCGCACAGACGGTGTGCTCAAAAGCCACCATGACAGACGTGCAGACAGCTGCTTTCGACCCCAAGTTCTGTCCAGACACTGAAACCCAGAGAGACTCTGTCACCAAAAAGGAAACTGTGAAGCAACTGAGTTTGATTTCTGGATAACGAGGTTAAATGCACCTAAAGTATGACCTATAGAAAAGGGTGGTGTTGCCCTAAAGCAGAAAGAAATAGCGCAAGGACTGAGGAGTGACCGATTCGCCAAGATGTCCTGGCTGGGTGCTGCCCTGGCCACACTGGAAGGTCCAGGCTGGCCTAGTGAGGGCCATAGGAGAGCCCTGAGGTCACGAAGCTGGGGAGGTGTGAAGTCAGGGGGCCCGTGGGGCACGGGCCAGGCCTGGGTGCCCCCGGCTCATCTCTGCTGCTGACAACATGGTCTCAGGCGGGAATTCTAGATCACGCACCCCAAGTTCTAACCCAGCTCTGGGATTACAACACAAGTGGCTGGGACCCCAACCAAGATTACACAACGCCTTTTCCACAGTTGTGGGATCCTAGCAGCAAGACCTTGACAAGCCTGTCCTCAGCACCCAAACATCCACCTCGAGCTGCGTTTCAGCTCACCTGACTGCCCTGCAGGAATTAAAACCAGAGACATGCTTCTGCCCCACGCACATAAAGTAAGGGCTCAGTCACTGGGCAGCCGCCCTCCCCATCCAGGGCAGGCAGACACTGTCCTGTCGCTGGGTGGGCATTGCATGCCTTTCCCACAGGGCGCCTCCCATGGAGACCTCTGCCTCATTTGCATTGCATGGTGAGGGCAGGGATCATGGCCCTCAGTGGCCAGTACGCTTGGCAGGTGTTCTGTGGCTGTCTTCTGCTGAGTGGATGGGGGAGGGGAGGCTGATGGCTACCGGGGGACCCTCCTGCCTCCGCTGCCCTCCACACCCATCCCGTCCACTCACGGGCCTCAGGGAAGTGCTCTGGAGGGGCCTGCATCTGAGCCCTCCCTGCCCCAGAGTCTCACAAGACAACTGGACGTAGACTAAGGCCACGGCCATTCACCTGTGGCAGGAGCACGCGTGGGTGAGATGCCATGACAGGCCAAGTTGCAAGCAGGGAGTCATGAGCTGAGCATCTGCGGGGAGTGTGTTCCTGGTGGACGGGACACCTGGGCAGTTCTTGGAGAAGCAAGGCCCCGAAAGTGGGATGCCCAGGGCAGGTTCTGTGTCTCTCAGCAACGAGAGGACTGAAAATCCCTCGCCACCACTGTGAAATCAGCCACACCACTTAAGGAAAACCAGTCTTTTTCTGGAGGCACAAAGAGCCATGCTCTTCTAAATTTTGCTGTCATTTTTATCACCTGGATCTTCTAGGACAGGCTGAGAGCTTGAAGTGCGGAGATGAAGCCGGGTGTGTAGGGGGCAGGTGTCTGCATCTCCAGCAGGTTCAGCTCAATTTGCCCCTAAAGCCTCTGGGAGCGAAGCGTACCTCCACAGCAAGGCCGCTGGTCCCGAGAGGCTCTGCCAGCTCTGCCACAACCCCTCTTCCCTGGCTCAGTTTTAGTCTTTTTGTTTTTTAAGCTGTTGGATCATTATATTAAATAGAATAATTGCAAGATCGTAGCTGAGCGACAAGGTGCTAATAATGTGCACAAACACATACTCTGAATATAAACAACAGTAAATTAAATTTTCTCTGAATTGGAGTTGACCATTTGTATTAAAAGCTGGAGAAAGGTCTAAAATAAAAACTTCATTTTACAAGAAGCGGTAAGTATAAATGGTAACTGGGTGAAGAATTTGGGATGGGGCTGTCAAGTCTTTTTATAAATTACTTAACAATAAAGTAATCATAAGATTATAATACGTTTCTATCTAATATGAAAACAATATTGCTCATTTTCTGGGCTGACCTGGATGAATTTAGTAACAGATATGTGTGATGACCACAGCATTGTAATCTGGAGGTCGGAAAAGTTCACTGGTTTCTGAGTTAATATTCTCAGTGACTCACAACTTAATCACTGTGTATATTTACCAGCACAGCTAAAGCCAACAGGACATGCTGGGAACTCTGATAACTGGGTACTTTGGGGAACCCTGTTTGAAAAACCCTCCCCAAGTTCAAATAAACTTCCTTGAGGTCCACTCAAAGCCACACCTATCCTGCTCAACATTACATATTTAATCTCAGAGCAGCTGAAAACTCACCAATTACACTTGTCTGACAGTAGCCAAAAAGCAAACACAAGTTTATATAAAAATATGCATTTGAAATTTGTGTCTCAGTGTTAACAGATGAAGAAACTTCAGAGGCTGAATCAGAGATGCTGACCGGGTGAGGAACGCAACGAGCATGGACACCGTTCCCGCAGATGTCTGGACGTGAGCGCTCAGGATGGCCGCTGCCATGTGCGTGAGGCATGGCTCCTAAAACCAAACCTAAACCACAGCATGATCATTTGGGGACGGGTCTGCTGCAAACGTTCCTCTTAGAAAGCCTGGGAGAAAATACGGGGAGAATCGGCACACACACATCAATTGCACTCCCACTCGAGAATGTACAATAATCTCCATGAATTTCACAGGAACCAGACCTGGAGAACAGGCGTACACCCAGGATCCTGAGACGGGACTCGAATGACATTTGGGTGGCGACTGCTATGAAAATGGGACAGTCTGCTGATTGACTGATGGGCGGGAACTCGCTGTCTCTCCCACACTCACTCCACAGCTCAAGCCACCCCCCAGGACCTCCCCACCAGCTTCTCAGCAGATGCTAGCAAAGTTCTGCCAAGGTTCCACCCAGCGCTGCTCACATCTCATGGATCCGGAGCCATGTGAACCCAGAGCTCACATCGAGAGCTCAGGAGTATTCAGTTGTTCCTCTGGACACCCTGTTAACCAGCTCCCTAAGGACCAGGACCCTGAAGGGGCGTGGATGTCTCTGGGTGTGTGTGATATGTGTGTCTGTGTGATGTGTGTACATGTCTGTGTGTGTGTCTATGTGATTGTGTGTCTGCGTGACGTGTGTCTGTGTGACATGTGCCTGTGTATGTCTGTGACATGTGTGTCCATGTCTGTGTCTATGTGTATCTGTGCGTGTCTGTGTGTGTGTAATGTGTATGTGTTTCTGTACACAGTCTGTGCAAAACCTCACCCTGCAGAGGCGGACAGTAGAGGGAAGAGCACTGGAGGTGGTGGAGTAAGAGACGGAGGTGGCTCCCAGGCAGGTGTGGATGCAGGCGCCAGGCACCTACTGCTCCCCTCGGAAGCACAGCCGGCCCTGCGGCCACCACTGCCACAGCCCCCATTCAGGCAGAAATGGTCAGTGGACACCTCAGCCACGGGACCTTCACCCCATCCCGAGGATCACATATACATATACACACACACACACGTCCATAAACACACAAACACATTACACAGACACACAGAGACACACATCACACAGACACAGAGACACACACAGACCACACGTGACTCATTACCCAGAGGAGAAGCACCTTCTCCAGGGGGAATCCGGAAGCCTCCCCGGCCCTGTGAGCACAAGAGACTTCCCCAATCACTGGACACACCCTGGGCCTCCACGGGCTGTGCCAGAAGCTCACCCGCCAGGATTCCCGCCCCAGAGGACCAAGAGGAACCTAATTACATAGAAACCAGATGAAAGGATATTCACAAAGCAACTGGCTTCAACCCTTCGCAGATCTCAGTCTCACAAAGGACACCCATGACAGCAATCCGGGATGAACAGACACGATGGCGGGGCCGGCTCTCACCAGCAAAAGGTGTGTGTGTGTGTCTCTGTGTGTATGTGTGTGTCTGTGTTTATGTGATGTGCATGTACATGTGTATATATGTGTGTCTGTGTGATGTGTGCACATGTCTGTGTCTGTGCATATCTCTGTGTCTGTGTGATGTGTGTCTGTATGCTGTGTGTGTGTTTATGTGATGTATCTGTACATATGTGTGTGTCTGTGTGTCTACGTGATGTGTCAGTTTGTATCTGGGTGTGTGTGATATATGTGTCTGTGTGATATGTGTACATGTCTGTGTCTGTGTGTGTGTTTATGTGATGTGTGTGTCTTTGTGATGTCTGTGTGTCTGTGTCATGTGTGTACATGTCTGTGTCTATGTGTGTGTCTATGTGATTGTGCGTCTGTAATGTGTGTCTCTGTATAATGTGTGTATGTGTGTGTCTATGTATGTGATGTGTGTGTGTGTCTCTGGGTGTGTGATATGTGTGTCTGTGATGTGTATACATGTCTGTGTCTATGTGTATCTGTGTGTGTTATGGTGTCTGTGTGTTTCTGTACACAAACACACACACACAAATGGGCACTTTGTTAACGACCACAGCTAAGGAACAGAAACGTCGGTGCTCACTGTGAGGCCCTCCCCAGTTTTCTGTAGGTCGGAAATATTTCTAAACTGGAAGTTTAGAGGAAAAGGACACGGGGCTGCTGCGGCTCATGCCTCTTTTCACCCACATGTGGAGCAGCCACATCTTCCCTTCCTCCCAATCCAACCTTAAGTCAAACCCTCAGCCACCCGAATGCAGGGGCTCTGCCTCGGCGCCATGAGCTCTGAGCTGCACAAAATAAATCAGGCAAATACTCTCACTCCAGGCATCAAGGGGAGTGAGGAGCAGCGCTGAAGACGCCTCAGTGAGCAGCCCCGCCCCTCGCCAGAACGGCCTGGCTCTGGGTTTGTCTGTCGGGGAAGTCGGCGTGGCCTATGGGATCCACGGCCCCTGGTCTCAGGGATCCCCAGGTTCCTTCCTCTTCTCTGTGAGAAAAAGCTCCTGACTGAACCTGGGTCCCAGAGCTCTTTCTTTTTCTCTGTTCATCTTTTAAAAAAAAATGTTTCTGCGTTTACCTGACAGATCACGACTGTAACTACTCTCACGGGACGCAGTAATGTTTTGCTGTAGGTGTCCTGGGTGGGATGATTACATCAAGCCAATTAACTGATCCGTCACCTCACCACGCACTATTTTTCTGTGCTGAGAGCATTTAAAATCGATTCTTTTAGCAATTCTGAAATACACATTTGCTGTGGATAGAATGTTCATCCCTGTGAAATCTCGAAACTCATGGTACATTGGGAGGCGGTGGCGACTGGGTCAGGACGGCCCCCCCTTGTGAGTGGATCAGTCCATTCATGGGTTCAGGGCTTCATGGGCTGGCCCGGGGTGGGTGGGGCCTGGTGGCTTTATACGCAGTGGAAGGCAGCCCTGATCTGGCTCACTGTCCTGCCAGGCAAGGCCCCCACCGCCTCGGGACCCACCAGCAAGCTCTCAGCAGCTGTGGCCCCTCAACTGTAAGACCTGAAAACTGTGAGACATGAATTCCTTTTCTTGTCATGGGCCCAGTGCCAGATACTCACACACAAGCAGCAGACCTGGACTAAGATGACCTTTCACTCACCGTGTCCCTCCGAGGTCTCTCGAGAGAACAGAGTGACTGGTGCTGACGTTACTAGATGTTCCAGGAAACCCACCAGAGGAAGGGCTGGGGCCTCTGGGTCTCCCACCCCTGCTAGAGATCCTCAAGGTCGTTAAATCCTCACTGAGGTGGGAGGAGCGACCCTTCGGATGAGAGACAGTCGCTTAAATGGATGCTCTCAGTGCCATGGATTCATGTCTTACGGTCGAGGGGCCGCAGCTGCTGAGATCTCTCTTGCTGGAAGCCTCATGGGCTGCCTCCTCCACAATATTCTGCATGAACCAGCACTGCTCACACCGCGGCCCTGGGACCCCCGGAGCAGGGAGAGAGCTCGGGCTTCAGAGACAGGAAGGCCTAGGCTGGCCCCAGAGCCGCCCCACCCCATCAGCAGGTTCCCTTGTCGCACGAAGCCCAGCTCCTCCACCTGTAGTCTGGGGTTGATGGATGTGCTGGGTGTGCTGAAATGCATCTGCCCCAGCAGCTGGTGCGCAGGAGACGCCCGGCAGGCCCTGGTCCCGGGGCTGTGCTCGCTGTGCACAGTGGTCCTGTCCTGAGAAAGCTCAGCCACAGAGGGAAGAGCTGGGTCCCCCATCACCATGGTTCCTTAGCATGCATTTTAGCTCCCTGCCCTGTGAGACGGTCTTGCCTCTTCAGAGAGGGGCACACAGACCTGGCTGTCTCTCCTTGGCAGCCTGCCCTCTCACCCCTCATCCCAGAGCTGCTCTGCATTCCAGGGGAAGCTCCTCGTCCCCCACTCTCCATCTGAACAGCTCCTCCTCCCGTCAGGCTCTCATCAAGCATCACCTCCGCCGAGCAGTCCTCCTGGAGTTAGCAGTGCTCCTACCGCCACCGTTCCCCCAGCCCCCGCAGTCAGCTCCTCCGCACAGGGGAGGGTCTGGTTGCAGGGCCGCATACAAGCGTACTTTGCCAATGTGAGGGATCTGCTGGACGACCCAGAAGTCGGGGATCCGTCAGACACCTCGCTTTCTACTGTTCCTGCACACACAGGCTGCACTGGCGTCATAGGAAAAACCAGAGTTCTGGTCCCATGCAGACTAAAAATCAGATTCACTTTCTCCAACCACATACTCGAGGATCTAGATTTAGTTTGATATAAACACGAACATATAAAATCCAAAAATAAATTATGAAATCAGAAAATGTGAACACGCACACACAGTACAGTGGAAGAGGGTTAGATTTGGCAACAGCATTTTATAAAAGATGCATCTATCTGAGGACTGCGCAACTGTTGGACTAAAGGAGAAGAGGCGTGCGCGTTCTCAGAGGAGGCCCTTGTCCTTCCTGCCTTGCTGGGTGCTTGAGCGCCCACGTGGGTAGCCGTGAACATACCCTGCTCCCTCACACCCTCAGCACCACACGGGCTTTGCTCTGGGTGGAGGCACAGGAACCCTGGTTTTGGGAACACTGGATTTTGGCTCTTCCAATGTCTTATTTTTCGATTCCAAGCCATGCTGAAGGCATCCATAAAAGAAAAAAGAACACCTCAAATTAGGGAAAGCTCAGCTCATAAGACAGCACATATGGTGGCTAAAAATAGCCCCGATCATAGCGCGTTATGTAAGTGCTGCGTCTCCCTCATGGCTGAGTGCTTGGAGGTGCAGTCTCTGTCCTGGGCCTGCTGTGTGGCACCCGCAGCACCGTGAGCCGGGCGCCCTGGTGGGGTCGGGCAGCTGGAGCCTGTGGCTGTTTGGAAACTGCTTGAGGACCCGGCTGGCCTGGCTGGCGCTAAGTGCTAGTTTTCCCAAAGCCACTTTAGGCGGAAGGCGAGGCCACCAAAGCCTGCTGTTGAGGCCGGGGGCACAGGGGGTGGCATCCAGGTGGCCCTGCAGGCACTACTTGCTGCCCCCATGTCAGGTTAATTGCACCGTCTCCAAACAACTGAACCAAGACGCGCAAGTGGTAATCCCTGGTCTGCCCTCTCTGGGCAGTGAGCAGCCCATGGACAGAGCCTGGGGCCTTCTCGCAACTCCACCCACCCCTTCCCCTCCACAGAGACCTATTCCCCTCCCAGTCTTCCCGGCACCCAGGCTCGCCAGATCCATGGCTGCCCTCACTCCCTTGCCCAGTGACCCCTGAGCCTCAGCATGTGCACAGCCAGCTCCTATGACAGTGCCGCCACCACCTGCCCCCTCGACCTCGTGCCCCACTTCTCCTTCATGAAACCAGGGCTCCGAGCTCTGTGTTTCCTGCCCATCCAGTGCCCACCATCACCGTCTCCTGCTGGCTGCTTATGCCCCTCCTGCACCAAACCCTCCTGGAGGCAGCCTGTCTCCTGGGCAGCAGGGGCCTGGGGACAGGAAGACAACCCCTCCAGGGTCACAGCCCAGGTGGATGGGGCCTGGCGTGTGGGGCCTGACTCTACCTACTCCCCACAGCTCAGCCGCCCTTCCAGTCACTCCTTGCCGCCCCTGCCTGTGACCCCATCGAGGTGTCCCTCAACTGTCCACATCCGGCTGTGGGTGCGCCTTGCTCATTTCCTCCCTCACATCTGTGACACCCAGGCAGTGCCCGGAACAGAGAAGACCCTTAGGACATGCCGACTACACAAATACAGTCTGTGTGGTAACACGACTGTAAATTCTCATGGCAAGAAAGCACTGGCGTTCACACACAATTCTGGGTGATTTTGCTGGAAAAATTCTAGCTTCTGTTGCTTCCAAACCAGTGCTGGTGAACTCTGAGAACAAAAAGAAAAAAAAATAGAAAAAACCACATTTTTGTGGAATAAGAATCACTACAAAAATAAAAACTCAAACACTAACTGTTCAGTTATGATGTTCACAAGACAGAGCTTTCAAGATGAGCCAACCTGCTTCAGAAACTCACCCTCTCACACCTGCACCTGCTTCAGAAACTCAACTGCTTACACCGGCACCTGCTCCAGAAACTCACCTGCTCACACCCGCACCTGCTTCAGAAATTCACCTGCTGACACCTGCACCTGCTCCAGAAACTCACCTGCTCACACCCATACCTGCTTCAGAAACTCACCCACTCACACCAGCACCTGCTCCAGAAACTCACCTGCAGACACCTGCACCTGCTCCAGAAACTCACCCACTCACACCCGCAGCTGCTCCAGAAACTCACCCAATCACACCCGTACCTGCTTCAGAAATTCACCTGCTCACACTCACATCTGCTTCAGAAATACACCTGCTCACACCTGCATGTGCTCCAGAAATTCACCTGCTCACACCGGCACCTGCTTCAGAAATTCACCCGCTCACACAGGCACCTGCTCCAGAAATTCACCTGCTGACACTTGCACCTGCTTCAGAAACTCACCTACTCACACCCACAC